GGAGGGAGGGAGGGAAGGAAGGACAGGTAGGTAGGTGAAAACGTTGTTGTTGATCACAGCCAGGTCTGCTCTGACTCTTGGTGATCTCATGTAAAATACTGCCTGGTCTTGCACCATCTTCATGATCACTGGTACCCTGGAGTCCACTGTTGCAGTCACTGTGTATTTTGAGTGCCTTCCAACCTAGGATACTTCCAGCACTATATCAAACAATATTCTATTGTGATCCCTAAGGTTTGCATTGGCTAAGTTTCAGAAGCAGATATCCAGGCCTTTCTTCCTAGTCTGTTTTAGTCTGAAGTTCCTCTGAAACCTGCCATGGGTGGCCCTGTTCGTATTTGAAATAAGGGTGAAATAGCTTCCAGCATCATAGCAACACGCAAGATACCACGGAATGACAAACAGACACACAGGAGCTGGAGACAGAGTAGCCATATCTCAATTAGGAAAAACTGTCTCAAATGGTAAGAAAATGCCACAGATGATACCATTTTGATGACAGATTTTGATAAAGGGACAAGCTATCCATTTTACCTGACATAGCAAAACCAAGAGTTAATATGTGACTTTTTTTTATTTATTCTAGTTCCCAGATAACTGGCAGTAAGTGCTATGATTTAAGTGATATCACCAATTAGACTTGGAGATAGCTACCACAACACTGCCTACAACACTTAAATTGCATTAGGTTTAATTACTGCAAAGTTACATCTGGAGAGGGAAACATAATTTGTATAACAACCCTCCGAATTCTAACTTGAGCTCAGTCCCTGCATGATACATACTTGCCCAAGTAATTGAGGCCCTGAAAGGCACCAGAGTTAATAATGTGTAACTAGCAAGAGTACAATAAGACAGTGACAAGCAGGTCTCCCTGAATTAAATTCACAACTAATTAAGTGACCTCTCAGTGTCCTCCAAGCCCTCTAGAGAGCAGGTACTCCAAAGCAGCCTAGTGATCAGCCTTGGCAGAACCCATGGAAAAGGAATGCTGAGGCAGGGGGCGGGGGTGGGGCACCAGTACCAGTGAGAAAGATTTAAGACAATGTATTTCAAAGAATCTAGCTCTGCTTTCCCTATATATTGTCACCCATAGTCACATTCCCAGAATCCAGAGGCATCAATTAGCATCTGGGTAACTGAATTAAAAGGGAAAAACATAAATTCTGTTGTTCATGGTGACTCTAGTGCCTTGGAACTAAGCTTAAAAATAGCGTGTGCGCACTTGAAGGGAATTTGTGAGAGCTTTGGTGAAAGAACAAGCAAAGGAGGTTTACATGTGTGTGTAAAGAGTATTTGGGGTACATGTGAGGAAAAGTGTGAAATACATACAGTTGGCTGTATTTTTAAAGACCGAATTACAGTACAGGAATGCCAAAAGAAGAAAGAAAATGGTCCCCTGTGATTTATAAATTTCAAAGTATGACTAACGGCAATGTGTATTTAGTCTGAATTCATATTATATGTCCATTCATCCAAAAACACATTAAGGCATGCTGTATTCTTCCAATAATCAAAAATGGCAGTGCTTTACAACACTACCTTATATACCTATTGTGAACTGCAAGTAGTACTTCCACTTCGTAATACAAAATGATCTCAGGTCTCAACTCCCATGTCTACAATGATATAGTCACACTATGATGTTGTCCAAAAACCTACACAAAATGTAAAAACCCTAAGAAAAAATTTTTGAATGATAACCCAACTTCTGCATGTTACTTAACATATGATGAAAATGGAGTTTGCTTAATCAAACCTTTTAATACTAACATATTCTATACTTGCGCCCAACAAAATTACAGTTGCAAAAAAATTGGTTACTAATCCAGTGAGGAATAGATTTGACTATATTTGACAGGAAAACCCCAATGAATGGCAAGTCGTCTTTATGAGAACTTCAGGAAACCAGTTCACACTACTTATAAAAACCTAGCTGAAAATGCTTAGTCCTGAGTAAGCATAAATCCCTCCAGTGAAAGTCATAGAAAATGAAGACTGTCTCTTTAAATTGAAGGACCTGATGTAGAGTTAGGTAGTATGAAGCCAAGGAAAAGTTCTGAAGTTTAAGTGTCAGAAGCAAACATTTTCTACTTGTGAAGTAAACTCTGTTGAAAGACAGCAGACTATGGTCCCACCAGTAAAAACAGGAAAGTTTTCAGCCAGTGACAGTTTTGCCTACAGAGGGGAAAAAAAAGTGTCACAGACTCACTTTATTAAACCATATGCTTATTGCCCTGTGAAGAAAGCAGGGTCACTAATTAGTTCATTCTGTGAAAGAAGCCCTTCCTGATCCCGTTGACTTTTGTCCCCCTGGTTAGCTCCAGCTATTTCTGTCATGCAACTTGAAAATCACTGGAGGGAGGAAGATCGCCATAACAACCGCTGAAATGATCTTGTGGAATGTGTCTAGTGGCACTGGAATAACCTGAATATGTGCTCCAGATGTGTCGGCTGTCAGGAAAAAAGTAAACACATCTGATGGACAGCGTATGACTAGATGGCCTCGAAGCCACTTGAGAGGCTCGGGAGAGGGGGAGGGGCCGCATATGTGAACGAGGGGCTGCGGGGTGGGGTGCAGGGAACAGTCCCGGGCCAGGCCAGGCGGACAGGCGGGAGGCACCGGAGGACCTGGGGCCTGGCGGCCAGGGAGGACTGCGCGCGACTGTTCCGCTCCGCCCGCGCCCGCGTCCCTCCCCCAGTGGCCTCTGCGGGACTGCAGCGGCCTCAGCAAATTTCCGTCTGGCACCGACTTGTGAGCATTTGGGAGCAAACTAAAACACGAATGCTGAGAGGAACGGGGAAAAGCGAGAAGAAAGTTCAAAATGATTTCTGTCTTAAATATTAATGGCAACATGTTTCCAAAGCATTCGATCTTGGGATGGGGGGGCTGTTACCCAGCTCCTACCCTCCCCTCTACCAAAGAAACAGTGGTGCCCTTTTACCCTGCTGCACACTCTGAAGCATTATTTTTATTAGGTGGCTGTGTGATAACATTCTGGATCCAAAAATGTTATCTTTTTGTTGTTGTTAAGACTTTCACAAGTTAGAGGAGTGGTTGGTTCCCTAACCCAAAATATTTTTAAAGAATATTTTTCTAATGAAATACATAGGAATGACCAGAAGACACGATATATGCCAAATCACATTTTCACCTTAGTTCCTATTCTCTGGGGGTGTTTCCAAAGAGGAGGATTTAGTTCTACACCTAGTGTTTATGTTCACAAACCAGGAATTCTACAAAAATCAAGCACACAGTAGGTACTTGTTGAATATTTGCTGAAAGAAACTAGTTTTTTAATGTACAAGATTCAACTACAAATGTTTCTTGGGTTCTACATATAAACAGTAGCATGGATTACTTAAAAAAATAAGAAACCAAGTTTTAAAATACTAAAAAAAATACATGGGAAGTTTATTTCCCCAGGGGAACAGAAAATTTTTCCTAAAGAAAATAGGAAACACCACATCCATGCTATAGTACACAAACCACCTACTTGTGCATGAATCCACATTTTAATGCCTACTCCTACTCCAATAGCTTGTAGAATGAGACTTAAGTTTTAGAGAATTATGTATAAAATGTTCACTACACTCTTCCCATAAATGCTTACATCTGTGAAAAGGCTACAAAGGTTTGTGCAGACATACAGATGTAAAAAGCTTTTAAAGCAACATACACCAGATTTTTCTTTCAAAACTTCACACAATTATATTTCAATAAAATTTCTAGTATTTTTCCACCACATTTTAAACAAAGACCCATGCTGTAGGGGAGGGTAATTATCTCTATAAGATACACAGTTAAGACATAAAAATGCTCACTGAGTATTTAAAAATCTTTAAATTGCTTCTGTCTAACATTCATTAAAACCAATAAATTACATCACCTGGACTGAGGGAAGGCATCATTCACCTGATACTTTAATCCAAGATGATTTCCAACTTTGAAATCTTTTCAATTTCTAAGTAGCTAAGTACATTTTTCTCCTTTGATAAACTCATTTAGTGACCAAGATTCTGAAAGCAGATCACCAAAGGGAAAAAGAGAACTATGAGAAATTATTATTTGAGAGCAGGAAATAGAACAAATCTTCAGCTCACTCTTTACTCTGTAATTCACACATTTAACCTGATAGAGGAAGACCCTAAGGATACCTGGAGGCTGAAAGACTCAAAATTTAAAGAGATAGGTGTAAGAACAACAAGAGAGAATGGCACAGTTCTGCCTTCTAGAAATTGGATTCCACTGGCAGCTGGCTGAATGAAGCTAATAACAGATTCATAGCCATGGAAAATGTTTCATCCTCTAAACGAAAAACGTTACTTCCTTGTAACAGAAACTACTTCTTGACAAGTTAGACAACCTAAAATAATGATTTGCCAAGGTTCAATTTATAAAATTTGTTGGCAACCTATAAAAAGGAAATAATCTAGGTATTGCCAGTTATTTGTACAGCATACTTTACTTTATTCTAATCTAACCTAAAAAATTTTAAAGACTTCAAAAAAGAGCTGACAATTCCAAATAAAAAGCGAATCATTTAAAAAGCTTTCATGAGCCAAAATTATAAATGTCCACATTTGTACAATGAAGTGTCAAATGTCCAAAAGATGGATGAGCTTCAAGGACCATTTTCATTTGCCTTGACCTTGGTATTCAACCAATGAGTAAAAGGCTCGTGTACATTCAAAAGGCTGACATGTATTTGTATTAATTCGTGTGACATTTCTTATCCATCTTAAATTTCTTACACCAAACTTGTAGTTAACTTTTGTAAGAAAGATGGCGAGTAAAGCATTGGACCTTACGTCAAATTAAGAGTAATGGTTTTTCAGTGAGGTTTTTTGGTTGTTAAGAGCATCAAAAGGTTGGAATAGGATGAAACTTAGAGTTAATGTAGGAAGTATTCAAGTTCCAAGAGTTACGTGATACTCATATGAACTGATTCGGTGGCTGAACTCCACACAATGAAGCCTGTGGCTGAAATCAAGCTGCATATATGTACTCTGCCCTTTGTGCACTGTGTTCAAAACTCAGTTGCACGCTCATGAGCTATGGTTTCTCAAACCACCAACTTCTCTTAGATAATGTCACAAGGGTAGCACAGGCTCCATACACACTCTCCCTAGTGCTTTTCTATTTCACTCAAGAGTAAACAGTGGCCACGGCTATCAAACGCGCAGACCATCAGATAAGCAGACCCATCCCGGAAGAGCTAGGAAAATTTGGAGAGTTTACCAGCTATTATTTTATTGTTCTATATAGTACTACAGACCAGCACATTAACTACTAGTAAATTAAGGAGGCAAGAACAGTTGAATACTCAAGAAAACAAAAAAACTAAGACAGCAACCAGCAGGCCAATCTATTAGAATTCCCGCTGGCTAGGAGTAAAATGCTTCAATGTAGTTTCCTGGCTGCAGGAGTTTCTGAACTGGCCATGCAGTAGGTTTCAATCGTGTGGCACCGTTTGTCAAGTAGAAACAAAATAAAAGTTACAGGAATGAATGAAACCAAAGTCTAAGCTTAAAACAAGGATTTTCTGATCCCTGTTGAAGGAAGGAACATGGATTCTCAATAAAACATTTTAAAGGATGTGAACATGAACTCCATACAGAACCCGTATTAAAACTACAAGGAAATCTTCAAAGGAAAAATGTGAGGCTATTACATGTACTTAAATGCCAACAGAATAAAAGAAAAAAGTCCAGAAGTTTCTTTGAGGTCATCACTCATGTGTCATGCTATCAAGGGAAAAAGAAGCCATGAAGAAGCACAGAATTCTGGAGAAAAGCAGGAAATCTTTGGAATGGAACACAGAGAATACAATACATTCTGCCCAATTTTAGAGGTCTTAAAAAGATTCTCTATTAAGAACAAACAGCTATAATATTTTATCTCCTTACTATAATGTCATCAACTTATGTAAAATTTCTGTAGGCACTCCACCCCATCATGCCCCGACTATAAAACAAGCAAATCAATGATCCCTAACCCAAGTTCAACAACAAACATAATATTCTCTCAAGGGTTCTGTGAAATTCTCAAGACAAAACATAAGAACGTGGATTAATTTAAAAAATAAATATTTTCCATATAGCATTCGGGTGGGGGAGAGAACAAGTGGGAAAAGCTGAATAAAACCTTAGAAAAGTGCCTTAATCCAAATTCTTTCTTTTTATAGACAGGGAATCAGTCTTATAGAAGCTCACCGATTAACCCATTATCACACAGCTATGTATTTCCAGGAGAATTAGAAGAAAACCCTCTGGACAGCAATATCCTTCTCATGAATCCATGACGCAGCCCACCCTTCTCTTGCCACCACCAACCTCACTCCCCATCTGCAAATGACAACTGGACTATTCATCAGATGATGAATTTTCTTTCTGAAGCTATGTTTAAAGAAAAAGCACGACATTAACAAGAATATTTTTTTAAAAATACCCTCTGAGGGGGATCTCATACCATCAAGAAAGCAATGCCAGGAGCAGACCGCGTCCTTTCGACCGGGGTCCCTGCGCAGAGAAGCTCCTAGTCTGGGGGAACACTGATGAGAAGGCCAACAGAGAGAAAAAGCCTTCCCCTGAAGCTAACACCCTGAATTTGGACTTTTAGCCTACTTTGTGAGGAAATAAACTTCTCTTCCTCAAAACCATCCACTTGTGGTATTTCTGTTGTAGCAGCACTAGATAACCAAGACAGAGTTTGGTACCGAGACAGTGGGGTGCTGCTCTAACAGATACCTAAAATGTGGAAGTGGTTTTAAAACTGTGAACCGATAGACGTGCGGCAGTGACAGAGGACCAGCAGCAGCAGAGAACCTACAGCAGCTGAGAAGTGGCAGCAGCAGACAACCAACAGCAGCAGAACCAGGAGACCAGTGCAAGATGGTACTGGAGCCAACCCACAGAGCGAGACAGCTGAGTGCCTGTTCGTGGGAGGCTTCCTGGCGGAGTGGGGTGCCTCCGGGCACTTACACTGGTGGAGCTACAGAGCTTTAGAAATACTTGCCCCAGCAGGGCAGATGAGGGCATGAGAGGCCACAGGAAGCAGAAGCTGAAGAGACAAGGGACACAAGAAGCCGAGCTGCTTCAGCCTCAAAAGTGTGACAAGTACAAAACTGGAGTTATCGATGGGTCTGCATGCAACAGCCTTTGTGTTACAGAAACTCTTTACTTTGGAAAAGGCTTATCAACCAAGCCCAACAATCAGATGTATTTAGGGATTTGGGATAATCTGCCAGGTGTTGTGAAATGTCAAATGGAACAAGCACCTCATCTTGATTTTGGAACTGAATTGGAACCAAGAAAAGAAATCGTTCTATTTGATAAGCCAACTAGGGGAACTACTGTACAGACATTCAAAGAAATGGTCTACAGTCTCTTTAAAGCTAAGATGGGTGATCAAGGAAACCTCTCTGAACTGGTTAATCTCGTGTCTTGGCAGTGGCTGATGGAGACAAAGATGGCCAGGTTTCCTTGGGAGAAGCAAAGTCAGCATGGGCACTTCTTCAATTAAATGAGTTTCTTCTCATGGTAATACTTCAAGATAAAGAACATACCCCCAAATTAATGGGATTCTGTGGTGATCTCTATGTAACGGAAAGCGTTGAATATACCTCTCTTTATGGAATAAGCCTTCCATGGGTCATCGAACTTTTTATTCCATCTGGATTCAGGAGAAGCATGGATCAGTTGTTCACACCGTCATGGCCTAGAAAGGCTAAAATAGCCATAGGACTTCTAGAATTTGTGGAAGAAGTTTTCCACGGCCCACATGGAAATTTCCTCATGTGTGATACTAGTGCCAAAAACTTAGGATATAATAAGTATGACCTGAAAATGGTGGACATGAGAAAAATCGTGCCAGAGGCAAACCTGAAAGAACTTATTAAGGACTGTCACTGCGAGACTGATCTGGACTGTGTCTATAGCACGGATTGTAGAACTAGCTGCGATCAGAGTACCATGAAGTGTACTTCAGAAGTGATACAATCAAACTTGGCAAAAGCCTGTCAGCTACTCAAAGACTACCTGCTTCATGGTGCTCCAAGTGAAATTTGTGAAGAGTCAGAAAAGCAGATTTATTCTTGTATTGCTCTCAAAGTCACAGCAAGTCAAATGGAAATGGAACATTCTTTGATACTAAATAACCTAAAAACATTACTGTGGAAGAAAATTTCCTATACAAATGACTCTTATTTCAGTTGGATATTGTTACCATCATAAGAAACTTCTAAAAAAAAACTTCGAGCATTTTTTAGAACGGCTTCTGATTCAGAGTTCCCTGCCAGTTACACGAAACTCCTCTCCTCTGGGCTTAGCGAAGCCATGAAGTTAAAATATGATTACTCATTGGCAGGTGTAGGATCAACAGGTCCAAAGGATTTCATTCCTGCCCTTTTTTTTAAAGATGCTGTTACATTTCTCAGTGCATTCACTGTGTAACTAAAAAAAAAAAAAAATGCTGTGAAAAAATCCTCATTCCATAAACATCAACAGTTTGAGTATTTTGTAGATTTATAATTGTTAGCCAAAATACCATTGATGGAAACACTGTTTGCAGTGAAGCTGCTGTTTAAAAAACAGAATTTATACATAAATTTACTAATGTCTTAGCATGGTAAAGTTTGCACATTAACAGAAATTAAGACTGCAAAGCAGGTAAATTACCTTTTTTAAACTGATGTTGGGTTAATAGCATGGTTTGTTGTATTAGACTTACACATTTTTAACTCATTTAGACATCAGTTATCTGGGGTTTCAGGATGTTTCCTTAAGTGGCTCTTTAACAGAGCCTCTTGTAATTCAAAATCTTTTAGGGGAGTGAGTATTCTACTTGGCAATATGTCAATGCCAATTTTATGGCCAAAACTGGGTAAGCTTTCATGTCATTCTAAAGAAATTCACAGGGCCCATCTTAGTACAAGTACCAACCAGCCAACTAAGCCCTTCAAAACTTAAGGGCATAGACCCAATCCAGACCCACATATCCTGAATTTGAACCATGGGGGAAGTCAGATTTCTATGAAATAATCACAAAATTTATTTTAATAAATATTTTCCATTTCCAAACAGTATTTCTTAATGGCCAGAGAGCTATTTAAGAGGCATGTAAATTCAATGAACATTTTTTCCATGTGAACTTGATATAAAAAGGTTAACATTTGCTTCTCACTCTTGTATTTTTATATGTATACTCAGATCTGGCATGCAGCTTCCAATGTCTCCACAAAAATCAAACACCTTTTGGAGAAAAGACCCAGCAGTTTCTGTTCAAAGGTTTCACATGGTTAAAGTGAATGTGTTAAAGCTATGTGTCCCTCACTGGACATTGGACAGCTTTCTGTAAAGAAAAATTAAAGCCAGGTATTAACACCAGTTGTTTAACATTATATACTCTGAAGGTACTTTTTCTTCCCACTCATCATCTGGTTACAATAAATGGATGGAAGAATCAAAAAAAAAAAAAAACTCTCTGGACAATTTCAACCTCTGTTCTTATAAGCATTTTAACCAGGATTATTAAAAAGTAAAGATAATACCCACATTGAGTCTGAACTCCTTTCTTTTTCCACTTCCTGGAACAGGTGCTCCCAAGTAATGAAATGCCAGGAGGGAAGAGAAAAAAGCTAGACTGAGAAGCCAAGAGCTTTGGGGTCATTAGCCTCAGAGTAGTAATGGTTGACTATATTCCTTTATTGTTCCTTTCAGCTTAGTTCGCTAAGGGCAAAGAGCAATTTTTTTCTTTGCTGCTCTTCAATGTTACTGTCCTTGCAGGCCCATCACGGGACCCTGACATACTGGGAATTGCTGGTGACTTGGCTGCTTGCCATTAAGGAATCATTACTACTGCTCATGGGACAAACAGTGTCTGTGGCACCAGAAGGGAAGCACCTCAAATGGACTGACAGGTAGCAAAGTGAGCCCTTCAGGAACAGCTCAAACCCTGCTTAAAACCCTAACAGCTTCCCATTACACTTAGAATAATGACTACATTCCTTAACATGGGCTGTCTTAGTTATCTAGTGCTGCTATGACAGAAATACCACAAGTGGATGGCTTTAACAAAGAGAAATTTATTCTCTCACAGTCTAGGAGGCTACAAGTCCAAATTCAGGGCGTCAGCTCCAGGGGAAGGCTTTCTCTGTTGGCTCTGGAGGGAGGTCCTTATCATCAATCTTCCCCTGGTCGAGGAGCTTCTCAGCGCAGGGACCATGGGTCCAAAGGACACGCTATTCTCCTGGCTCCTGTTTCTTGGTGGAATGAGGTCCCCATGTCTCTCTGCTCGCTTCTGCTTCTCTCTTTTGTATCTCAAAAGAGACTGGCTCAAGACAGAATCCAATCTTGCAGACTGAGTCCTGCCTCATTAACATAACTGCTGCCTATCCCACCTCATTAACATCATAGAGGTAGCATTTACAACACATAGGAAAATCACATCAGATGACAAAATGGTAGACAATCACACAATACCGGGAATCATGGCCTAGCCAAATTGATATTTTGGGGGACACAATTCAATCCATGACAGCCTACAGGACCCTCCGCTCATGGTCTAACACTGACTCACCAGCCTTACCCTGCTCTACACTTTCTGCACCAGGCCTCTGTCCACACCTCCAACATCCAAGCTCCCTACGATCTCAAGGCCATTGTCCCTCTGTAACAATCAACACCCTCCACTCTAACCTCAATCAACCTAGTTAATTTCTCCTCTTCCTGCAGATCTCAACTCAACCAGACTTTCAGGGAAATCTTCACTGATCCCACAAACTATGTTTGGTGCTCCCCTATATTTTGAAGTGTTGTGTAACATTCCATTTGGAAAAGGAAAAGGGATCCCTAGGTTTAAAAAAAAAAAAGTTTGACTCTCACTGGATGGTTTCAAAAATCCCTGAAACCAAAATTAATTCTGATATTTGCAGTATTTAACTTTCACTCGAGTTAAATTACAGTAATAAAGGATTCAATGTCATAAATTTTTAGGTCCCTATGTCCACTTGTTAGGGCCAATGTTCATCTATTTCAACCACTCCAAAAATAAATCAATACATTTTGAAAACTGTGGCCACTTTACTCCTCCTTTTCCAGTGCTGGTTGCAAAGAGTGGCAGCTGCAAAAGAGCATGAAATTCATAAGGCTTAGCATCAGACTAAAGTCAGACTCTGCTACTTACTCACTGCCTGACCTTAGGCAAGTCCACTATCTTCTGTGGGCCCCTTTTCTCTTTTGTAGGAAAAGAAAAAACAATGATATCTTCCTTAAAGTATCATTTCAGGATCCAGGCGACATATATTTGGAAACCAATGTTTGCTATTCCTAACATGTACCGAAGTTACCTTTTTACACTTTGCCTAGTTATCTAAATAATACCAATCTCCACAACCATAAACTTCATACTGGAGAATTGTTACTCTTTTTTTTTTCCCTTGTCATTGAATCCCAGAACCTAGTACAGTGTCTACCCAATAAGCAATAAACACCAATAAGTAAGCACCCAACAAATCATTTTTGAGTAAATGAATTAGCAAAGCAACAGTGCAATATGGAATGGATTCTTCCATCTTCATGAAGTAGGTGCCATTATTACCCTCATTTTATAGATGAGGATACTGAGCCTGAACTCTCTTTGTATTTGAGAAATGCTTTTCACTTAACATCTATTTAGTGAAAAACATGTGCAAGGAACACTTCTGATACCATATTTTAAATATAAGCAACTTAAGTCTCTTCCCAAAAAACACAGATTTAAGTCAGAAGAGGTTTTAGTAGAATGGGTGTCTAAAGTTATGTCATTTTTTTCCCAGTCTTACCAGTTTTGAGACCTGCTCTAATAGGATAAAGCTTTCAACTGTAGGAAGCCTTCAGTGAAACGCAGCACCCATCCCACCTAGTTAGAATCCTGGCACTAGAAATCTATTCCACCCCTGCTCAGCAGGCTGCAGTATATAATTATTTTCACCTGGTTACAACACAAGGTGGTGAGTTTAATCTTTAAAACCCTACAGGGATTGGTTTCAGCAGTTTTGGAAATTGCCTCTCGCACTATGAATGCACTGCACAGCAAGATGGTTCTGCTAATGGTTCCCAGATTAGGATTTGGAGGAACAAACGGCATGGCTCCCTCTCTCCATAACTTCCTTTGTGACCAAATCTGTGGACGCTCAAGGTATCCTCATGGCCCACTTTCAAAAACAGTTTGTTCTGATCTGGACGAATAAATAGAGTTCTTTTTAAGTTATAGTCAATAACTACTATTCACTGGAGTCAAATGAATGCATATACAAAACAGACCGTCAATGACATATTCTTCAAAACATAAAGGTATATATACAGACTAAACAGTCTCAAACGTGGCAATGAATGTAAAATAATCTCTACTTTATCTTGATTTTTTAAAAACTTTTCCCAAGCTCTTCCCTTCTGGAAAAAAAAATCTAGAAAATCAAATCAAAAATATAATTTAATGTCTTCTTTATCCTTATAAGCAAGGCACTGCAGTCTATTTCCAAAAAACCAGCCATTGAAAAAGTAGGGAGCACAGATCTACTCTGACACACATAGGGTGTTGCCATAAATTAGAGACGACTCAACGGCAACTGGTACTGGTTATTTTCTTATTAAGTTCAACCCTAATTTCTCCCATGTCCTAAATGAGCCCATACTTCACAAAGTCATCAGGTACTTGAAGATCACACCTTGACCTTGCTAATCAACTTTTAAAGTGAAATTGCTACAAAGACTAGGACTACCAAATCCCATGAAGTAAAATATATTTCCTTTAACTTTTAGTAGAAGAGCCAACCTTAGTATATATGTGCAAATTAAACTTTCTGCTTACAGAGGATTCAGAAAAGGCCCTGGGCTGTCCAAAGTATTTCTAGTGATAGCAAACCACTTATATTAATAATGACAACTACATGTCGAAGAGCTATTCAACTTACACACCTGGTTTGCCATATGTTGAATATTTTGGCCTTGCCAAAAAAAAATCTATCGTATCATTATATCTTTACCATCATTCCCTAAATATACATTATGTGGGGGAGTACACAGGTAAATTCTAACAGTCAAGTTTTTACATTAAAGCCATAGAGAAGAAACAAAAGTTCTTTTTTTTTTAATTTTGCTTTCTTTACATGTTCTTGGAGCTAAAAACTGACCCACAACAAAGATCTCACTCAGTAGTATAAAATTAAAATACTATAAAACATAATGTTAAAAAA